CTCCCAGCCTTCCACTGCTTTTGGGTAATTTGACTACAGTGAAGAAGGGATTTTTTAAAAAACATACAAACCAGGCAGGCCTAGGGACTTCAACCTGTAACCCCAACTACTTGGGAGGCTGAGATGGGAGTATCACTTGAGCCCAGGAATTCAAGGCTGCAGTGCAGTATGATTGTGCCACTGCACTCCAGTCTGGGTGACAGAGTGAGACCTTGTCTAAAAAAAATTTTAAATATGCAGACTGAAAGTTTAAAATTGTTATTATTTGTATAGTTATTTTCATACCCTCTTTATTTCAGAAGTGTAAACCTTTGTATTTACTGAAGAGTCAACTAGCTTGTCTTATAACTTCTCTTTATAAATTCTAGTAGTTGAACTTAGATGCTATCTAGGGGATTATTTGATTTGGTGAAATGAGATGGGAGATTTTTTATTGTATGAGTCATATCTAGCAAGTAGGCTGAGGATCTAAAGTAGTTTGTGTTTACTAAAATTTTTCATAAACTTTAGAGCTGCTATGATTCAAGTTTCTGTTTTATGTAAAATATAATTCTTATTGATTGCCCCTATGAAAACTGTACTTCTCAGCTTTTTGATATAAAAATATCAAATATAAACAAAAGTAGAGAAAATAGTTTCATGAATTTCCTTATACCCGCCACCACGCTTTACCAGTGATTAATTTATGGCCAGTCTAGTTTCATGTTTCTATCACACCCTCTCCGACTCCATCTCTGAATATTTCAAAGCAATTCCCAGATATCATTATTTTATTCATAATCAGTATTATATCTAAGATACAAGAATTCTCTTTTTTTTTCATGTTTTGAGAAATCTGTTTGAGGAAATACTGCAATTTTGGTCAGTGATGAAATGGTTGGCAGTTATTTTTAATGTTATCCAATTTATTCTGTTAGTATACCATCCTGAAAGTTTAGCCATTATTTTAAATACTGGTGTTATTTAAAAATATATAACTTGGTTATTTAAAAACATGTAGCCTGAAGTTTGGGTACATTTTAATATTTAAGAAAAATAAAATTTTTATTTATTTGGTCTGTTTCTCATTTTTTTAGATACGTGCTTTCCAGCATGCCTTCAGCACTAATGACTGCTCCAGGAATGTCTACATTAAGAAGAATGGCTTTACTTTACATCGAAACCCCATCGCTCAGAGCACTGATGGTGCAAGGACCAAGATTGGTTTCAGTGAGGGCCGCCATGCATGGGAAGTGTGGTGGGAGGGCCCTCTGGGCACCGTGGCAGTGATTGGAATCGCCACGAAACGGGCCCCCATGCAGTGCCAAGGTTATGTGGCATTGCTAGGCAGTGATGACCAGAGCTGGGGCTGGAATCTAGTGGACAATAATCTACTGCATAATGGTGAAGTCAATGGCAGTTTTCCACAGTGCAACAATGCACCAAAATACCAGGTGAGAAACTAGGGGTTTTCTTAAGTATGGGCCTTTGTCAAATCACGCCTTAATTTGTTTTAAATTTCCAGATTTTTATATAGCAGTTTTGTTTGTCTTTTTGGTAACTTTTATTTTTATTATTTTTTTTATTTTTCCAAAAACCCAAACTTCAAGGAGATTTTTTGACAATTTTTAAATAAATGTATAAATGATCTATCTCATTATTTGTTTCCTAATACAACTTTAATCAGCCTCTCTTTGCTCCAGATCAGGGTTGGCAAACCTTGTCTGTAAGGGCCAGGTAGCAAATATTTTAGGCTTTGCAGTCCATGTGGTCTCTGTCACAACTTTTTTTTAAATGTCATTTTCAAGGTAAGGATCTGTCACAACTTTCAACTCTATTTATAGCGCAAAAGCAGTCATAGATAATATGCAAATGAATGAACATGGCTGTATTCCATAGACCTTATTTACAGGCAGCAGGACAGCTGTAGTTTAGGGACCATAGTTTGCCAGTTTGTGCCCTTTATCAAGCTTTGCACAGCCTGCATGGAGCCCACGATGGCTTTGAATTCAACCCAATGCAAATTCATAAACTTTCTTAAAACATTATGAGATTTTTTTTTGCTTTTTTTTTTTGAGACCAAGTCTCACTCTGTTGCTGAGACTGGAGTACAGTGGTGCAGTCTTGGCTCACCACAGCCCCCACCTCGCGGGTTCAAGCAATTCTCCTCCCTCAGCCTCCTGAGTAGCTGCAACTACAGGCATGTGCCACCATGCCCGGCTAATTTTTGTATTTTTAGTAGAGTCAGGGTTTCACTGTGTTGGCCAGGCTGGTGTCAAACTCCTGACCCTGTGATCCACCCACCTCAGCCTCCCAAAGTGCTGGGATTACAGGTGTGAGCCATCATACCCTGCTGAATTTTTTTTTTATTTTAAAAAGCTCATTAGGTATTTTTAGTGTGTATTTTATGTGTGACCCAAAACAATTCTTCCAAGGTAGCCCAGGGAAGCCAAAAAATTGAATATCCCTGCTCTAGATGGCTATCTTTCCTATATCATGGCACATCCAAGTCTTTTTCTAAGCTCCTTACCCCAATAAATACATCTCTATATATGCACATGCACACATACCCGATGTTTGTGGATTCAAAGCCCTTGGAGGCATCAGTGATTTCTGTAGAGGCAGGCAAATTCAGGCAAACTGCTATATTTTTTATTCTTTTCATCCTAGGCTTAAGGCTTACTCATTTGATTCTAGAGTTAAAATCATATTTCCTATTTGTAAAATCCATATTTATTACTATACACTCAGCAGGGTGTAATATACAATAATCTGATAAGAAATTGGAAGTCTTTAAAGAATTAGAGATTTCATATTTCAGAGCCACATGTGGCATGAAAGCTCCAGCCTCAAGAAGAATAGAAAGAAAAATAAAAATAAATTTAAAAAGAAGAAGAAAAAGTAATTAAAAAAAGAAAAAGAAAGAAAGCTCCAGCCTCAGTAAGGACCTCAAGTCAGGCATACTAAAGCAGAAGAACCAAAAATACATCCCATTTTCTGAGGTATAAAAGCTGGAAGGATTTTTTTTTTTCATAGAATGTTTCCTCACTATCCTTTTAGGCTCTGCAGATACTATAGTGAGAAGGGTGTCTAGACTTTATCACTAAAAAGAAAGTTCTATAACTACCCTTGTAATGATTTTGTAAGTGAAAGTCCTTAAGTCTTTGTTTTTCAGAGAACGTGCTGTATGGTTTCAGTCCTTTTAAATTTATTGAGATTTGTTTTATTCCATTATGTGGTCTGTTTTGATGAGTGCCCATGTGTGCTTGAAAAAATGTATATTCCTTTGTTGAATGGTATATTCTGTAAATGAGAATTAGGTGAAGTTGATTGATAATGTTCAAGTCTTATATAGTGTTACTGATTTTTTGTCCTACCCCTTCTATCATTTACTGAGAGGAGTATTGAAGTTTCCGTCTATGATTAGTAATTTGTCTTTTTCTTTTAGTTCTGTCACTGTTTGCTTCATGTATTTTGGAGCTCTGTTACTACTGGTGCATATACTTTTCTAATTGTTGTATCTCCCTGCCTGATTTATTTTTCTGTTACGAAATGACCTCTTCTGACTCTAGAAATACTCTGTCTTTATGTCCATTTTTTCTGATTTGAATACAGCCACTTCAGCTTCCTTATGCTTATAGTTGCAAAGTACCTTCTTCTTGTATCCTTTTATTTTCAATCTGTCTTTGTATTTAAAGTGGATCTCTTACACAGAGACTATCTAATCCAGTCTCAGTCTCTGACTTTTAAGTGTTTCAGTTATTTACCTTTAATGTAAGTGTTGGACTGCTTGATATTGTCCTTATCTCTGTGCCTGTCAAGCTATGTTCTTGTTTTTTCCCCAAACTTGTTTCTCTCTAATCTTTGAATTAGATAATTTTCTTTTTTTTTTGAGACAGGGTTTCACTATGACACCCCAGCTGAAGTGGTGCAGTGGAATGATGATCTTGGCTCACTGAAACCTCTGTCTCCTGGGCTCAAGCGATCTTCCCGCCTCAGCCTCCAGAGTAGCTGGGACTACAGGTGCTCCCCGCCAGTGCCCGACTAATATTTGTATTTTTTGTAGAGACAAGTTTTCACCATTTTGCCCAGGCTAGTCTCGAACTGCTGAGCTCAGGCAATCTGCCTGCCTCGGCCTCCCAAAGTGCTGGGATTACAGGCATGAACCACCATGCCCCACTTAAGTTAGATAATTTCTGTTGTTCCATCTTCACGTTTATAGATTTTTCTTTTGCCATCTCAACTCTGCTGTTGAGCTGGGCTAGTAAATTTTGTTTATTGTACACTTCAGCTTTACAATTTTCTTTTTTTTTTTTTCATTTTTCAAGAGCTATTTACTTTTTTCCAAATATCATCCCAAATAGGTGTTTTACAGACAACTGTCAATATGAAGTCAAACATATAGAAGGAAATCATTTTTACAGACATTAAGAATAATTTTAACAGAAAAAAAAAAGCTCACATCTATCTAGATGTGGCTATGTTCCATGGGAAAATTTCAGCATCCAAAGTGCAAAGAAAAAATGACCATGGCTTTTCTTATCACATAAAATATTGACCATCTTCCCTTATAGCCTACTCTTAATTGTTAGTTGGGATGCCAAAAAATGACTAGAAGTTGGGCTGCACTGAACAAGGTTAGGGGCATAGGAGTCAAGCATCAGAATGAATTCAGTTTTAAAAGAAAAACTGGCATTGACCCCAAATGAACCCAAAGTTCAGCCAGCAGCACATTCACGATAAATACAAGTTGTACTTTCACATTTGCAAGGTTGTGCCACTCAACACTATTAAGAACTTCATCCAAATTAAAGTATGCATACTCCCATCACTAGTTCTGCCCTCGGTGTAGCCCATTTTTATCAAAGCTCCATGTTATATCTCAGTTCATAATGGGGAATGAAAAATTCCAGTTCTTAGAAGGAGGGATCCTAAATCCTCTGGTCTAATCCTTTCTTTGCCCCACCCTCCCACTTCCCACCCTGAGACAAGCCAATCTTATCATATAGGTAGGATTTCTTTGGCTTTAAGCCAAAGGGATAATAACCCCCTTCCCCAAAAAGAATCACAACCAATTCCATACTAACCCTTCTATCCCTGGAAAGATCTCTCATCTAAAAGATCCCAACAATGACCAGCATAGGGTACTAATATTATGTGACTTGAGGAGAAGGAAGGGGAGATACATAGAGTTTTAATAAAACCTCATGCACAATTATACTTGATTCAAAGCCTGGAGAATGCTAAAAGTATTAATGAGTACAGGAAGCTGTAGAGCAGAGAGTACAGGTGTGTCCTTTCTTACAGTTGGTCAGTGCTGGGGAGTAATAGACAGATGTGACTTCACTTGAGCATTGGAGAAGCAAAAAATTTGCCTTGTCATCCTAGGTTGGTGGCAGACTTGCTTTTGCTCCTAAATCTGGGAGTGTTCTTGGTGAGGGTGGAACGAACTCTCTGTGACAGAGAACTAGATGAAGGAGTCTTGAGAAGCTGATGTTCAGGAGTGGTCACAGGTCCCTGTAAACTCACTTGAATATCTGGTGTCTGTGGCGTTGAAAAGGCATTTGAGTTTTCAATGACATGTAGGGGGTCAGTGTTCTGTTGTTCTACCATCATGAACTGACTCCAATACTCCAGGGACAAGGAAAGCAGGCGCTCAACCACCTTGGGTTGACGCTTGATGTCCTGTAACATTGTCACTGGGTCTGGATTGGGCACAGCATGGGCCACTATTGTAGGGCTAAAAACTTTAGCCAGATTGGCAAAATCCATTTTAGTATGTGGACTCTGTGCCACTGTTACAAGTGAATCATGAGGAAAGCTAATGTGTCCCTGTTGGCCTGGGGCAGTTCACCAACAGCCTGGTACATGGCAGCTATGCTGTTGTCTTCATCTGTGATTTCTGCTGCTTCCATAAAGGCTTTGTTTAGGCGAAAGGTCAGAAGAGGTTCTTTGAGGTTTCAAAGAAAGTCTTTTAGAAGGCTACAGATAGCATGGATATCATCCACTTTGCTGAGGAAGGGTACAGTTTTCACTCTGAGGAATTTCTCTTTCAGCTCTTTTACTGTGCAGTCACAGCCAGAGATCCTATACAGGCCTGTCTCAGTCAGACCTCTCTGCTCAATCTCATTAACACCATCACAACAATGGAGAGGATCATTGGAGAAGTCTGGGACACAAAGTCTGCCAGCATTCCCTCTCCAATCTTGACAGGTGTTCCTATCAGGGTAGGAATGCAGGGAATGGGAAAGCGGTCCCGACATTCTGGATGAGAGACCACATGACAGTCTTGACGCTTCAGAGATAGTTTGCCAAATTTTATCTGCTTTCCACGTGGAACACAGGACTCAGGTTTAATAACTGTCTTAGAGGCAAAGTCATGCAGGCGCATCCCTCCTTTATTCTGTGGTGTGCCCACATTGTCTGTCTCAGTTCTTGGCTCTAGTTGCCTGCTGTTAAGGGTGGAGTCACTGTTCCAAGGTTGTAAAGTACCTGTTTTCCTTTGGCTCCTGGTGCAATATGGCACAGTCTCAAGAGTGGACACAGCTTCAATGGGCCCGCCATCATTGGGAACAGTCACTGTAGTTTTTGCAACTGTGGATTCATTCCCCTGGTCTGCTGTGGAGCCAATGGAACGAGTTTTCTTTACAGGTCCAGGGGGACCATCAACAAACTGTTGGCTACTAGAGCACCTCTTTTCTCTCTTCTTCAGTTTGAAAGTCTTCACCAAAGAAGAATCCCAATCCAGTGATTCATCAGTCTTGTCAAAGCTGATATCTGACAAAATGGAACCAGATTCATCAATGGTTGGTAGTCTTTTGTTCCCAGTATTGCTGCTGGATGGTTGGCCTCTGTTGAGAAAAGCCAGAGCTGATTTTTGCTCCTCACTTAGTTGAATGCTACCAGATGTGTCACACATGAGCATCTCTCAAATCAGCTGAGTCTGTTGTTCCAGCTTTTCGCAGTCAGCCTCAGCTCTCTGTCTCCGTTTGATCTCCACATTCACCTGATTACATGCATGCTCAGTCTCTGCTTTCATCAAAAGATCCTTGTATTTCCCCAGCTCATGGTCAGTCCTCTGTCACTTTTTACGGATATCCTCAAAGTCCTTCGCCAACTGGATAAATTGGAGTTCATTTCCTTCACTGAGAATCTCTGCCCGGTGCACAAGCTGCTCAAACAGATTCCGAATATTCAGCATCGTAGTATCCATCTTTCTGGTCTGGCACCCCCACTACTCACTTTAGTCAGCCTCTACAATTTTCAGTTGGTTCTTTTTTATAGTAAATTTCCTTTTCTCTATTGAGTTTCCTTATTTATTTACTTATACTATATTTTTAAAAAATTATTTATATATATTTATAATAGCTGCTTTGAAGTCTTTGCCAAATCCAACATTTAGGCCCACTTGGGTTCAGCTTCTATTGATTGCTCTTTTTCCCCCAAATATGAATCACACTTTCCTGTTTCTTGTTGTATCTAGTAATTTTTTTACTGAAACCTAGACATGCAGATAATATGTAGTAGTAACTCCTGAATGTTTTGTTTCTAGAAACAGCTTTATTCTTCTGAAAAGTATAGGTTTTCTTGTTTTAGTAGGCAGTTAACTTGCCTATAAACTATAAACTGTCTCTTGTGATGTGTAGCAGCTAACATCTCAGTTTTTTCAGCTTTGCTGCTTTTTCAGCATGGTTTCCTGGGGGATTTACCCTGTGCCTTTGTATTATAGCAGTCACTCGGGGATTTGGGCAGTTAATTCTCAAATTTTGGGGTTCATCCTTTCTGTGGTTCTGTTGCTTCTGGAGTTCCACCTCCAAGTTTCCAGTTGCTCTGCCATCTCCCAAGTTTTACCCTCTGGCACCTAAAGATGGTAAGACTTCTGCTTTCTCCTCCCTGTGCTTTGGGCCTGCTGTATGCCCAAAGGTGAAGCAGATTTACAAATTTCACCAAGAGTAATTGTTGCTTAGTTTCAACTTCTGTAAAATAGGGATAATTCCTAGGATCAGTGTGAGGATTAAATGGGATAATACAAATAAAACACAAAACAAAGACTCGACGAAATTAGCTTTTCATTTCTAGTTGTTAATATTTTGTTGGTAGGAGTAGTGGTGGTGGTGGTGATCTGGAGGTTTTTACATCCATAAAATGGGGTGTGGGTTAATCTGTGAGGTAGGCAAAGGGAGGAAAAAAGCAGATGTTGGCAGTTACTGTTAACAGGAAATACAGTGAAGGAAAGTAAATGACAGTAGCAGGGGTTATCCTAATCAGGAAGAATTAAATTTTGATTGCAAACATAAGGACTTTCTGCTTCCGTTTTGTAGATGCAACATCCTTTTATAAATGTGAACTATAAAGATGAAACATTTTTTTTTTGCTTGCTTTTCCAAATGGGAAAAAATGGATATATTGTTCTTCCAGTTTCGTTTAATAATCAGGTGTTTCAGAGTTGTGAACCACAAATTGACTATTTAATAAGCCTATTCTATATTCTACCTTAGAATTTAGAGCCAGATTTGATTATTCATGATTCCACATTATATGTGAAACTGCTTTGTAAAAACTTTAAAAGCTATGTTTCTTACTGTGATTTTTAAAATTGTGATGAAACATATATATTTATTATTTTAACCATTTATAAGTATACCATTTGGTGGCATTATATACATTCACAATGTGTGTAACCATCACTGTTCTCTATACCCAAAACTTTTCCTCACCCCAGCATAATCTCTAATATGTTCATTCCCTATTTCCTTCATTCCCCACTCCTGGTAACCTCTATTCTACTGACTATATGTATTTGACTGTTCTAGATACTTTATCTAAATGGAATCATACCATTTAGCCTTTTGCGTCTGGCTCATTTCACTTAGCATAATATTTTCATGGTTCATCCATGTTGTCGCATGTATTAAAATTTTATTTCCCGGGGTCCAAAGTGGCTCCCGCCGGAGGTCATGGCGCTCGCGAAGGCGAGGTCATCAGTTCAAGGCTAACCTCATAAGCTCAAACTGATTGGCCAAAAAAAAAAAAAAAAAAAAAAATTTATTTCAGTTTATGGCTGAAATTCCATTGTATGTATAATATAGTAATTTAAGAAGTTGATTTAGATTGCTCTTTTCGGTAAAATATGCCAAATTACAGATTTTAGTGTTAACCTCAAGAAAAACCTTTAAACATGGCTGGGTGCTTATGCCTGTAATCCCAGCACTTCGGGAGGCTGAGGCGGGCGGATCACCTGAGGTCAGGAGTTCGAGACCAGCCTGGCCAACATGGTGAAACCCACATGTCTACTAAAAATACAAAAATTAGCCAGGTTTGGTGGCATATGCCTGTAATCCCAGCCACTTGGGAGGCTGAGGCAGGAGAATTGCTTGAACCCAGGAGATGGAGGTTGCGGCCAGCTGTGATTGCACCAGCCTAGGCGATAGAGCAAGCCTTCATCTCAAAAAAAAAAAAAGAAAGAAAAAGAAAAACCTTTAAACAAAGAATAAATAAAATCAATCTAGGGAGTGTTCGGGTGGAACATTTAAATTGTTAATAATTAAATGTAGATTCCATATGAGTCTTAAAAACAAAACTATGAAAGTAAGTATTTTTGATGAGATTGGTGTGCGTTACCCAGGCTGGAGTGCAATGGGCAGTGGTGCAATATGGACTTTGCACCGCCACACCCAGCTAATTTTTGTATTTTTAGTAGAGATGGGTTTTCACCATGTTGCTTAGGCTGGTCTTGAACTCCTGTGCTCAAGCAATCCGCCCACCTAAGCCTCCCAAAGTGCTAAGATTACAGACATGAGCCACCATACCTGGCCAGATGTATGTCCTTTTTTTGTAGATGTTTCCTCCTGACTAGAAAGCTTCCCTTCTGATTTTTCTTCTTCCTTTTTTTTTTGAGATGGAATTCGGCTCTGTAGCCCAGGCAGGAGTGCAGTGGTGCGATGTCAGCTCACTGCAACCTCTGCCTTCCGGGTCTGGGTTCAAGCAGTTCTCATACCTCAGCCTCCCAAGCAGCTGGGATCACAGGCACAAGCCACCATGTCCAGCTAATTTTTGTATTTTTTAGTAGAGACATGGTTTCACCATGTTGGCCAGTCTGGTCTTGAACTCCTGACCTCATGATCCACTCACCTCAGCCTCCCAACGTGCTGGGATTATAGGCGTGAGCCACCGCGCCTGGCCCCCTTCTGATTTTCCTAGATAGCTTTCAGGATATATGTTCTTAATATTTGCAACTTCTTGATTTGTATTGTGTTTCTTCTAGCTATGCCTTTGGCAGATATTCTTCTAATCTTTTCATGTCTGTTTGCAGATAGGAGAAAGAATTCGAGTCATCTTGGACATGGAAGATAAGACTTTAGCTTTTGAACGTGGATATGAGTTCCTGGGGGTTGCATTTAGAGGACTTCCAAAGGTCTGCTTATATCCAGCAGTTTCTGCTGTATATGGCAACACAGAAGTGACTTTGGTTTACCTTGGAAAACCTTTGGATGGATGATGGTGGCTTTCTTGTGATGAAAGAATGGAGGAGAGATCTGCTTATGGGAAGTAGAACCATGAAGTGACAGTGTCATATGTGCATGTCCAAGAAACAACCTGAAAAACACATGAAGTTGAAAACTGGAGAAGCAACTCTACACCAGAGATTATCTTCGTGTTTCCTCTTTCTACTGGGCCAGAAAAATCCTCAGGGTTGCAGTTGGTTGAGTGGGCAGTTGACATATGCATGTTGCAACAGATGTTGTCTCTAAGTTAGCAATGTGTTATTTCCAGCTTTAAAGGTGAGATTGTAGAGATGCTGTCAAAGGGATAAGATAAGGAAATAGCAAGATTTTTAAGTAGTGTGTTTGTGAAGACTGATCCCATCTTACAACTGCCTGTTCTTTCTCCAGTCCCTTTTTTCCGGCCAGCTTGACTATTAGAAAATTATGAAACTGGTTGAGTTTTATTTAATATTTTTAATATATTGAGAAGCATGGTCTGCCTGGACTGCACTTCTCTAAAAGTGAGATATAAAATTGTGCAGCTATTTTAAAAGTTGTATATACAATATGTGTGTTTAAAAAAAACTGTAAAAAAAAAAAAAAAAAGGACAAACAGTTTGCTTTGTTCTAGTTCTAATTTCTTAAAAACCACTACATGGTTACAAAATTGGAATAACATTTGGAGACAGTTGGGTTAACTACAAAGAAGAGGATTTTAAGAGAAGATGTGTTTTATTGATTCATTTTGTATTATTTTTGGCTTATAGTTCCCATGGCTGTTAGAGTCTGGTTTGTTTTTGTTTCTACTGTCAAAATTATAGTAAAGATCTCTCAATCTCCTGGCTAAATTGGGGGAAAACAAATATATTTCTAATTATACATATATCGTAAGGATGTTCTCAACATCATAATAATGTGCATCTTTTGGTATCTGGTTTTATTTTTGGACTTTTAAGAAAGTGTCTCCTAATCAGAGCATTGCCATTTGCTCTTATAGGCCTCAAATATTAAAAAGTCATAGAGCTTAGGAAAAAAAGAATTGATTAATGGTCTTTTTATTTTGTAACCTTATAATGCTGTAGATATTATCAAAACAACTTTTAATTTCATATTGTTTACATCATACAACTAATCTAAGCCTCAAACTCGTTATTGGGGCTATAACGAAAATGTTTACTTACCCACCTGAAACAGGTTAAGAATATTCTTAACCTCATTATAGATAATTGCCCCC